TTTTTTGGCTATGCTATTTTCTGTTTATTTTACCTCTTTTTGTTTTTTTAAATCCTTCTTTATCTCACTTTTTAGAAATAGATTGGGAAAGAAGAGTGAATGTAATACAGCCCCCGAGCCAGCGAGGGTGGGTGGGTATTTTGGCCTGGCTTGCCATTCATGGGTCTTGCCAGCATGTATTTCCAGTCAAGTTCTCATTCTGTTTCCAAGGAGCTGGGGATCCTAATGTCAGCCTGTTAAGTCTCACGCTAGAATTGGCTGCATCTGGTCACTTGGGAAGAACCACACTTAAAACACAGGCCCCAGAGAGTAGTAAAAGCTCAGGAAAACTGCAGAATAGGGCTGCTGTTTAATTTACAGTTCAGTCTCAGAGTGAAGAAACCCATGAACTGAAAATTACTATTTCACACGCACATCCCAATGGAAACACACAGGCACAGCTATCCCTATAAATATGTTCCTAGCCTGCCCCAGAAACTTGACCTTGGAGGGTCCAGAGCCTCGGAAGTTTGAGACTGGGACCATGATCCAAAAATTCTTTGTTTCTACAAAAACCCATTCAATGTGCTTAGCACACTTACAGGAGTTGTATCACAGAAAGAGAGTCTATCACGTTAGTCTGCATCATTGCATTACCTCCCTGAAACCACAAACACCATCACACACTGAAAATTTCTTACATTCAGGCCCACTCCAAACCTCACCTTTTTCTCCAAGTAACCATCACAGTATTTTCTTCCTTCTTTCCTCCCTCCCTTCCTCTTTCTCTCTTTGAAATAAATACAAATAAACTATTATTCTGCCTGCAAGTTAACTTTTGTCTTCTTGAATTCTGGTACTTTTTTTGTGTTTCTAGTCTTTAATCTTGCTCCCTTTGGCGCACGATGCTCAGCCCTTCCCTTCCCCGCACCCCTGATGCCTTCACTTCCAAATCATCTGACAGTATCATGGGACACCTTTTTTGTGTGTCTCTGGACACATTCTACTGTCCTTGCCTTAAACATGCTTCTTTATTTTTGCTGAGGAACAACTACTCACCTTGTACAATTTTTTTTATTATTTTATTTTTATTTTTGGCTGAATGACTTGTGGGAACCCAGTTCCCCACCCAGGGATCAAATCCACACCCCCACACATTGGAAGTGTGGAGTCTTAACCACTGGACCACCAGGGAAGCCCCACCTTGTACATTTTAATCAAGATGTTTCTCTTCTTGGTAAATTGCAATCTCTCTTCCTATATATGTCTTTGAAGCTCTTCTTACCAAAATCCCTCAAGTTTGGACTATTTCCACAGCCCTCTCATTTGGACTGGCCATGTGATTTGCTTTGGCCTACACAGCAGAGGTGACTTCTGAGCCTCGGCCTCAAAAAAACCATTCACTCTTTTAAATCTTCCCCAGCCCATGAGGGTGGGCCTGGACTAGTTTGTTGGAGAGCTGAGTTTCCCAATCAATCACCAGATATGCACCTCAGACTATCTGAAAGGCACCTGAAGCCACCTCAGACTATCAAAATCCCAGTCTACCTGTCAGCTGATTGCAGACAAACCAATAAACCAAGCCCAGATCAGAACTCAGGTCACAGAGACTTATGAGCAATAATACATGCTTATTGTCTCAAGCTACTAAGTTATGGGCTTATTCGTTATGCAGCAATGATGGATGTTCTTTCCTGATCTGATTTAATAGCTGCAACATACGTCTACCATAGCTCCTTATATCACTACATAGCTTCTTGTGTTTCTCTTCCAGAAATGTTCAAGCTATTTGAAAATAGGGAAAAATTTTTATTTTGTACCAGCACCTGCCAATTTTTCAATAAATGAGTGTCAGAAAAATATCAATGATAACTAGTTAAGTAAGGATTATAATGATGGCCAAAGGATGATTTTGGAGGTAGACAAACCAGAATTTGAATCCTAATTCAGTTTTCTATATGTGTTACTCCACAGATTTTGGCTGACTTCAGACAACTTTATCTTTCCATGTATAAAGTGAAACTAGAATAATATATATGCTGTAGGATTGTGGTTATAAGGTATATATTCCCTTTGCCTCCAACCTGGGACAGAGCATTGTTGTTGTTCAGTCGCTCAGTTGTGTCCGACTCCTTGTGACCCCACGGACTGCAGCACACCAGGCTTCCCTGTCCTTAACTATCTCCTGGAGTTTACTCAAACTCATGTCCATCAAGCCAGTGATGCCATCAAACCATCTCATCCTCTGTCCTTCTCCTCCTGCCCTCAATCTTTCCCAGCATTAGGGTCTTATCCAATGAGTCGGTTCTTGGCATCAGGTGGCCAAAATATTGTAGCTTCAGCTTCACCATTAGTCCTTCCAGTGAATATTCAGGGTTGATTTCCTTTAGGTTTGATCTCTTTGCTGTCCAAGGGACTCTCAAGAATCATCAGCAGCACAGTTCAAAAGCATCAGTTTTTCAGTGCTCAGACTTTTTTTTACAGTCCAATGCTCAAAACCATACATGACTACTGGAAAAACCATAGCTTTAACTATATGGACTTTCATTAGCAAAGTGATGTCTCTTTTTAATACACTGTCTAGGTTTCTCATAGCTTTTCTTCCAAGGAGAAAGCATCTTTTAATTTCATGGCTACAGTCACCATCTGTAGTAATTTTGGAGCCCAAGAAAATAAAGCCTGTCACTGCACTTTTTCCCCATCTGTGTGCCATGAAGTGATGGGACTGGATGCCATGATCTTACTTTGGCATGGACTGGGTGAGTGGTCAACAAATGAGAATAAAAGCGTAAAATGAGTGTAAAGGACTTCACTGGTGGTCCAGTGATTACGACTCTGCCTGCCAACGCAGGGGACACAGGCTTGATCTCTAGTACTGTAAGATTCCACATTACGTGGGGCAACGAAGTCCATGCATCGCAACCGCTGAGCCCACAAGCCTCAAGCCTGTGCTGGGCAATAAGAGAAGCCACCGTAATGAGAAGCCCACAGTGAAGAGCAACTCCAGCTCACCACAACTAGAGAAAGCGTGCATGAAGGAATGAGGACCGAGTATAGCCAAGTAAATTTTTTAAATGTATGAAAAATAATAAAAAATTAAAATGTACAAAAAGAATTTAGTATAGTACACAGCTTAGAGATAATAAAAAAATACAATTAATTAATATGACCTATGCTCTATTAATGTGATCAGGATCATCATCGTTGCTGTCACTTCTTACAGGAGGAACTGCAGGTGCCCCATCCATAATTCCTTGGCATGGTCACCTCTGTACATGCTGACCTGATGGTAGCTTCCAATGGCAAACACCTGGGACTCTCTCACTCCCTCATGTAACACCCCTCACTCCCACCCAGAGGAGAAGCTCTCAACCAAGGCAGATGGGAGAATGTGGCTGTGTCCCCCAATTTCCCTTCCCTTGGTTAGGATAAATCCAAGGTATGTTTTATACTATATCTAGAATTGCTGAATGAGACTGTGCACCTTGTCACAGCAGTGATAAAATACATTTCCTCTGTTTCTCCTCTTCCTTATCTCATATCCCTACTCTACTACAAAGATATAAACTAGCATCATCCCAACATATACACCAGTAGCTAAATTTAGAATCACCATCTGATTCTAGGGAAATCAACCTAAAATAATACTACTCTTAGGTTTATTTTACCCTTGTTGCTTCAGAATCTAATTACTTCTCGCAGTAATTCTGACTTCCATTTAAGGCCTAGCCTTTTAATGATCTCTCCAGCTAATCAAAGAGTTGTATCCAGCCCAGTGATGACAAAACCAAGCACAGAATGTGGTGTGCCATCTTTTGTCTTCTTGGATGTTTTCATCAGAGCTCAGTTCTCACTTTGAGGACAAAGTCAAATTGTAGTTGATCTTGGGTAGCTCTGTGCTCCTCTTCATGGGCATCTGAAACCCTGGTATTGACTCTTGGCCAAGACAGAGGTGAAACGTACTAGCTAGTGATTTATACTATGCTGTTAAGAGTAAAAACCTACCCCAGGTACCCTGGACCAGCTTGTCTATGCTGTTCACTAAGATGTACGAATGTGAAAGTGAAAGTCACACAGTCACATCCGACCCTTTGCCACCCCACAGACTATGCAGTCCATGGCATTCTCTGTGCCAGAAAACTGGAGTGGGTAGCCTTTCCCTTCTCCAGGGGATCTTCCCAACCCAGAGATTGAACCTGGGATCAACCCAGAGATTAACCCACATTGCAGGTGGTTTCTTTACCAGCTGAGCCAAAAGAGAAGTCCAAGAATAGTGGAGTGAGTAGCTTATCCCTTCTCCAGCAGATCTTCCCAACCCAGGAATTGAACCGGGGTCTCCTGCATTGCAGGTAGATTCATTACCAACTGAGCTACCAGGGAAAGACAAAAATGTATGGATTGATGGTTTGTACTTGTTTAGCTGTTTGCAAAGCTGCTTTTGTGGAATATAAAATACCCCTCAGTAAGTTTGAGCTTTGGCTCCTCTGAGACACATGTATTTTGGTGGTTCATGATCAGAAGACAAAGTATATCCTGTATGGTGGAATGGGGGCTATACCTGGAAGTCTCAGTCCTCTGAGATGTTTTCTGAGCTTGCATTCACCTGCTGGACCCTATCCTGTGCCTTTGTGTGTGTACTCTGAGGCATCTTTACAATTATCTGACACTATATAACTATATAGTTATAGTATATATAGTATAGTACACTATACTATATATAACACTACATATAACTATATCTGACATTATATAACTGCTGCACTGAGGCCCTTTTAGTATATAACTGCTGCACTGAGGCCCTTTTGTGACAATTGAAGCCTTTTAATAGTGGTCTGGTATGGAGGAAGGGTCTATAGCAACCAAATTTAGAACCATTTCAGAAAGATATGACTCTTAGAAAGCAGGGCCCAGTATTTTGCTGAGTTTTGTTGTTCAGCTGAGTTTTTAATGAAAACCCCTCCTAACAGACTTGAGGTTGGTCCATGCTCCAACAGTGGCTGTGGGCTTCTTGAAATCTTGGACCCCCTGCCAAGGTCACTGCATCATTCTTTGTCTTCCCACCACCACCTGTGAGCTCTGCCCAATGGAAACATACTCCAATATAGAAACCCTGTCTTTGTAAAGCATCAGTTTCTCTGGTAAGCATTGGTTGAATCCACATACTGCTGTCTTTTTTTTTTTTTAATTGAAGTACAGTTAATTTACAACATTTCAGGTATAAAGCAAAATGATTTAGTTATACACACATACATATATAAGCATATATGAGTGTGAAAGTGTTAGTCACTCAGTTGTATCCAACTCTTTGCAACCCCATGGACTGTAGCTTGCCAGGCTCCTGTACTCTCTAAGCCACCAGGAAAGTGCATATGTACATATTTTGAAAGTGCCTATGTATATGTTCTTTTTCAAATTCTTTTCCATTATAGGTTACTACAAGATAGTGAATACAATTTCCTGTGCTATATAGTAGCTCTCGCTGTTTACCTACTTTATATATAGTATTTTATCTGTTAATCTCAAGCTCCTAATTTATCCCTTTCCTTCTGTCTTCTCCCTTTGCTAATCTTAAATTTGTTTCTGTCTGTGAGTTTGATTCTCTTTTGTAAAAAAGTTCACTTTTATCATATTTTGACATTCCATATATAAGTGATATCATATGATATTTCCTGTCTGACTTACTTTTTATGGATAACTAATATTCCGCTGTATGTATGGACTACACATACAGTTCTCTGTGCAGGACCTTGCGGTTTATCCCTTCTGTTTATGATAGCTTCTACCTGCTACCCCCAACCGCCCACTCTGTCCCTCCCCAACTCGCTCCCCCTTGGCAGTCACCAGTCTGTTCTGTGTCTGTGATTCTGTTCCTGTTTCACAGATAGGTTCATTTGTCTCATATTTTAGATTCCACATGTAAGTAATATCACATGATATTTGCCTTTCTCTGTCTGACTTACTTCACTTAGTATGATCATCTCTAGATGCATCCATGTTGTTGTAAATGGTATAATTTCATTCTCTTTTAAGGCTGAATAATATACCATTGGCTTCCCTGGTGGCTCAGAGCTTAAAGCATCTGCCTGCAATGCGGGAGAGCTGGGATCAATCCCTGGGTTGGGAAGATCCCCTGGAGAAGGAAATGGCAACCCACTCCAGTATTCTTGCCTGGAGAATCCCATGCACAGAGGAGCCTGGCAGGCTACAGTCCATGGGGTCAGAAAGAGTCGGACATGACTGAGCAACTTCACTTTCACTTTCAATATACCATTGATAATACATATATATAAATGATATAGTCCATTGATATATATATTTGATATTTATGATATATCTATCAGTGATATTCCACTATACATTTGTGTACATACATATATATATGATATTGAATTATAAGAGCTGTTCATATATTTTGGAAACAATTCCTTACATATCCCCATCTTTTTAAAACACCAATTTTAAGTAGTATTTTCACTTTCTCTTTAACGCTCCACCTAGGAATAATACATAGGAAAGTTTTAGTCTTTAAGTTATGCTTCACTAAGCTAAGCCATTGGTCCTTTAGAAAACTCATTTCTTATCCAGAAATGTACCCTTAATATGAACTATCTCTCTGTGACTCAAGTAACACTGTTCTCAGAAGTTAGGAACCACGCAGGAACGAAGGGAGTTATTATAAAAGCATCTGGAAGGCTCAAGTCTCCAAGTGTTGCCTTGAACATGAGATTTCAGGGCAGAATTTTATGTCTTCTCACAGTGTGATATCAACCTCCTTTAAATTTCAGAAGCCACAAATATATACATCATAGACTGAAGCAGCAAAATAAATTACCATTTATGTTATGGTAACCACCATAAACCAGCAAAATGACCACCATTATATACCAATGGTTATAAATTACCACTCTCAAGGGACTCTTGAGAGTCCCTTGGACAGCAAGAAGATCAAACCAGTCCATCCGAAAGGAAATCTGTCCTGAATATTCATTGGAAGGACTGATGCTGAAGCTGAAACTCCATTACTTTGGCCCCCTGATGCAAAGAACTGACTCATTAGAAATTAGAAAAGACCCTGATGCTGGGAAAAATTGAAGGCAGGGGGAGAAGGGAGCGACAGAGGATGAGATGGTTGGATGGCATCACACAATGGACATGAGTTTGAGCAAGCTCTGGGAGCTGGTGATGGACAGGGAGGCCTGGGGTGCTGCAGCCCATGAGGTGGCCAAGAGTCAAACATGACTGAAAGACTGAACTGAACTGACTGTACATTAAAACACAAGTAGCAGCATACCTTACACATGACAATTAGAATTATGTTTGGGAATTCATAGAGGACATTGGGTTTCACCTAGTTTAAACCAGCAGAAGGACATCCAAAACCTGTTTTAAATCCATCTATTCTCAGTGCCAGGTCTCGAAGCCAACTCATCATGCTCACTTGCCTAGGGGACAGTGTCCTATTTTCCACAATGACTGAGCCCCTGCCCCTACCTAAATAACAGTTTTTTACAAATATAACATAAACTCACTTCTTTACTATTAACCTTCCAAAGGCTTTTGTCTTTCTTGGAGTAAAGTCAAGACAATTGTCCATGTCTAAAGACTGCAACTTCCTCTCTATATCATGCTTCTCCAAATACCCTCTTGAACATCTGGATTTTGGTTCATAGCACAGGTAAGATCCTATCTTCAAGCTTTTACACTGTGGGCTCTTTTCCATCACTCAGCTCAGAATTCTCTGAGTGGTCTTCTCTTTATACTAAAACAGAAGTTGCCCTTTTTTTATTCTTTACCTCATTAACCTGTTTATCATGTTCATAAACATTGTAAATGGCTGCCAGCCTCTTTTGCATTTATTGACAATCACTTCTTGGTATCTGGGGACAGTTGGTTTTAGGACCCTTGTGGATACCAAAACCCACAGCTGCTCAAGTCTCTTGCATAAAATGACATAGGAAAGCCAGCCCTCTGTATTCATGGGTCCCCCATCCAAGAGTTTAACAAGGATGCTGAACATGAGGATAGGGAGGTCCAACCCCACTTACTTACCTCCTCCCACTAGAATGTCAGCTCTTTCAAAGCTGTCCCCCTGCCTTTTTTGTGTACCATCATATCCCCAAGTGCCTAGAACAATGTGCAGACATGTAGAAGTCACTCAGTAAATATGTACCGAATAAAAGAGGTACTTTTTTGTTTTCTTACCACTACATGATTTAAAATTTTAAAAGGAAAAAAACGGTAACATAATTTATTCCCCTACCTTTTTTATGATGGCTGTGGATGAATCAGACTCCAGAGGAGCGTGGCTATTTCTGTTCTGCAACTTTTTGTTGGTGCTCTTCACTGCTCTTCATTTTTCTTCAGTGTTCATTTTGGTAAGAGGTGGGAACATTTTGCCATAGTGTATTTCTGCAACAACATGGCACCAACATGAGTCAGAACCCCACCAACATTATGCTTTGTTTAAAAATAAACATAAAACCTCATTTACTCCATGCTCTCCTCCATGCTGCACATCCCCTCTTTACGGTTTGGATACTTTTCCTCAATATGCAGCTACAGACCTGCATGTTACTACCTGGACACCCCCAGGCAAGGTCAGGCTCCCTTAGCACTGCCTGCATCGGTCACGGCACTTCCTCTAATCATTCCACTTTGAGTCCATCTCTCCCACTGATGGTGAGCCCCCTCTGGAGACAGGAACTACACCTTTGGCCCATGAATCCTTAGTCTCACTCACTCTCTAGTAGTTATACAAGTTGAATACAGCTGCTTCTCATTATTTGTAGTAGTTATGTTCTACAGAGTTGCCTGCGATACTGAATGAGTGATGCTGAACCATTGGACTGAGAAGAAATACAGGATTAGGTTTATGGTCACCTTTTCCCTCAACACTTGTACCACTCACTCAATACACAACCTTATTGAATGGTTTTATGTAAATTTCCACGTAAAGGCACCTATTTAATTGCTGTTGTTGTTCAGTTGCTCAGTCATGTCTGAGTCTTTGAGACCTCGTGAACTGCAGCACTCCGGACTTTCCTGTCCTTCACTATCTTCCAGAGTTTGCTCAACTGATGTTCATTGAGTTTGTGATGCCATCCAACCATCTCATCCTCTGTTGCCCTCTTCTCCCCCTGCCTTCAAACTTTCCAGCATCAAGGTCTACTTCAATAACTTGGCTCTTTGCATCAGGTGACCAAAGTATTGGAGCTGCAGACTCAGTCCTTCCAGTGAATATTTAGGATCAATTTCCTTTAGCATTGACAGGTTTGATCCCCTTTGCAGTCAAAGGGACTCTCAAGAGTCTTCTCCAGCAGCACAATTGGAAAGTAGCAATTCCTCAGCATTCAGCCTTCTTTACAGTCCAACACTCATATCCATACATCATGGCTATTGGAAAAACCATAGCCTTGACTATACAAACTTTTGTCAGCAAAGTGATGTTTCTGCTTTTTAATACACTCTCTAGGTTTGTCCTAGCTTTTCTTCCAAGGGGCAAGAGTCTTGTTATTTCAAGGCTGCAGTCACTGTCTGCATTGATTTTGGAGCCCAAGAATATAAAGTCCGTCACTGTTGACATTGTTACTCCACATATTTGCCATGAAGGGATGGGACCAGATACAATGATCTTAGTTTTCTGAATGTTGAGTTTTAAGNCTTTTTCTTGGGGATGTTTTGATTACTGCCTCCTGTACAACGTCAGAAACCTCCATCCATATTTCTTCAGGCACTCTCTGTCTATCAAATCTAATCCCTTGAATTTATTTGTCACTTCCATTGTATAATCATAAAGGATTTGGTTTAGGTCATACCTGAATGGCCTAGTGATTTTCTGTACTTTGTTCAGTGGAAGTCTGAATTTGGCAATAAGGAGTTCATGATCTGAGCCACAGGCAGCTCCTGGTCTTGTTTTTGCTGACTGTATAGAGCCATTCCATCTTTGGCTGTGGAGAAGATAATCTGATTTGAGTACTGACCATCTGGTGTCGTCCATGAGTAGAGTTATCTTTTGTGTTGTTGTAACAGGGTGAATGCTATGACCAGTGCATTCTCTTGGCAAAACTCTGTTAGTCTTTGCTCTGCTTCATTTTGCACTCCAAGGCCAAACTTGCCTGTTACTCCAGGTATATTTTGCCTTCCTACTTTTGCATTCCATTCCCTTATAATGAAAAGGACATCTTTTTTTTTGGTGTTAGTTCTAGAAGGTCTTGTAGGTGTAGAGATCAAGACCTTGTAGACCTACAAGACCTTATTTAATATCTGTTTATTCATTAAAATTCAACCCACAGCCAAGTGTACTATAACTCATGCCTGAACCAAGCTTATCCAAGACATGTACATACTCGATAAGGTACATCACAGCCTTCCAGCATTTAGGAACACTAGACAACACTTTAGCACTATGCTTTGGCAGATGGTTGGTTGACATTTCCAACAGCAAAATCACCAAGAAAAAGCACAGAAATACAAAAAAACATAAGAAGGTGGCTTGAAAATACAAAATCCATCAATAATGAGGATTGGATGAATACATACTGGTGAATTATATGGACTGCCATTGAAATAAGCAAAAAATAAATACTACTGTTAGTATATAAAGAGACTAATAAAGATTTCATATACTTCATGAACAATTCAGGAACTGAAGGCTGTTATTCTCGCCTATCCTAACAAAAGGACAAATTCCAGATCTTACCCAATTTCAGACAAGCCCAAAGAAAACTTCTTTGAAAATAATTATAGGTTGAGAGTCTACCTTATCAGTTAGGCATAACCCAAAGTGCTCCCCAAAAGATGGCTCCATTTTTCTACTGAGATTATAAGAAATACCTGCTGTTATTTTATTATATGCATCAGTTAACTGTAGGTACACAAAGTGATATTTCCCAGACATTTTTTTTTATAACAATGCCAATACTTTGTGACATAAACAGCAAAGATTTTATACTTCCAGTATCTACTTTCTAATGCATTTGAAGGACATTTAAGACTTCCTTAAGAATACAGACTTATGCTGTATTTATGCTGCTGCAAAATTTTTCCAATTAAATTTACTTCTCAAAATTTTAAACTGGTTAACTTTAACCCTGATTTAACTGTAGTACATAGGAAGTAATTTCTTAGTAAAACCGCCATTGCAAAAGCATGCCCTATCTTTTAAACTACCATTCCTTTGATCAGTAGGATTTGCAGAAGGTGATGTTTTGTGTAGGTAACAAGAAACAGAAGGATGATTCTGAAAGCTCAGTTCCAATGTGTTCAAAATCCAATAAAATAGAGGTAGACACAGTTTCCTCTTAAAGTCTTGTGAGACTCTCTTCACATATTTCTGAGTATCAGAAGATAAGTCAACTTGTCAGGAAATGTAATTTCAGGATTGATAAAACCATATGGGGGAGAGAGCATGATGGCAGAGGAGTAGATGGATGCAGAGTACATCTCTCTCCATAGATACATCAAGAATACAACTTCAGACACAGAAATGCATGCAGAACACCAGCCAAGAGCAGATAGGAGTACCTGATCAGCGGAAAAGAATATATAGAACAACAACAACAACAAAGAATATATAGAACCACGCAAAACTTGGTAGGATGAAGGAACTAGGGGGAAAAACAGGAGTATTATTAGGACTGGACCTTTACCTTGGGGGGTGGCAGAACTGAAGCAGGGGTCCGATCTCCACATTGGGGCAACTGTCTGAGTCAGAGGAGAAACATTTAAGGCTGAGAGTGAAACAGCTGATCTGTGGCAGCCTAAATGGAATGAGAATCAGACAGTCCTTGCCACAGCCATACATACCCCGGACAGGGACACAGATCCCCTGGAAGGTGCAGCAGCTGGGAACTGGAGTTTAGGGATTGTGGAGCAATCCCAGGGCGAGGGCTGCTGTTGACTGTGGAGAGACAGATTGAGGGGATGTGAGGGAGGAGATTGTTGTGGGAATTGTCTGTGAAGGAAGGCCGGGCAGCCATGGAAGCAAGGTGATAGTGCTGAGCTGTGGTGTTGGAGAAGACTCTTGAGAGTCCCTTGGACTGCAAGGAGATCGAACCAGTCCATCCTAAAGGAGATCAGTCCTGNGATTAGAATCTGAGCTGCCCCCAGAGCAGGTCCAGAGATCAGCACAGCGTTGGAGGGCGTGCTAGGGAGGTGAGGTAGACTGTGGCTCCCAGCGAGGGAAAGGACTCTGACGGCAGCAACTCCAGAAAAACATTTAATATTCTTATGTTTTGACTTGTTCTGTAGATTCCTTTGGATTTCCCCCCCTCTTCCTCCCCAACCATTGTAGTTACCTATTTTATTGGCACTATGAAATCTAACTAAGTTTTTGAGCTTTTTTTTCCTCCAAGTCACTTTTTTTTTTTTAATTGTTGTTATATATAGATGTTGGCAAGCCCAACCTCTGCCTCTATGTTGGGCTTTTGCGGTTCTGTGGCGTTTTCCTTTTTCTTCCTTCTTTTTTATCTTTCTCTTTTTAAATCTTTAATTTTTAAAACCTATTTTTCTACATTTATTCCTTTGTTCGCTTGTCTTACTGTTCTTTTCCCCTTGCAGTTAATCTTGTATATAGATCTCCTTTATCTACCTCTATTTAACTTTGCATATCTACTCTTTCTTTCTTTTCCTTCTCTCCTTTCCTCTCAACATATTTGTCAGTTTTGTCTTTGTTTCTTTATTCCCCACTTGGCACATTGCTTTGGTTTTGTTTTCCAGTTTGTGCTTTAGTTACCTTTGTCCTTAACTGGTAGAGAAAATTTTTTATTTCCTTTGTTTGCCAGGTCAATCTATTGTACTTTATTTTTGCTGGACTGTTTTGATTTTGCTTATGGATGTATATGTATATGTATATATCCCATTATTTTAATTATTATTTGCCTGATTTGGTAACTGCCATTTTTCTGGGGTTCACCTTTGGTTTCTCATTTTTGGGTGTTTGTTTTAATCTCACTTAATGCCATAACAAACCACTTGTGGAATCTTTGTTTCTGACCAGAGATCAAGCCCTGAACCTTTGGAATGAGAGCATTGACTCCAAGATCCTAGACTACCAGAGATCTAACCCTAGGGAGTATCAAATAGTGAGAACTCACAGAAAGGAAGCCACCTGAATACAAGACCCAGCGACCCTGTGTAGGATGCTTCATCTAAGCAACAAACAAAACAAAAATACAAACCCAGTCATCAGCAGACAGGATTGCCACCTCACTCAGCCTTGCCCATCAGGGAAAAAATAAGCAAACAAACACACTCAGCACAAATCTCACCCTATAGGAAGCTTACACAAACCACTGGACCAACCTAAGGAGGGCAGAAACCAAAAGGAAGAAAGAATTCAAACTTGAATGCTAGGTAAAGGAGACCTCAAACACAATAAGTTAAAAAAAATAATGAAAAGGCACAGAAAT